ACTTTGGCAAAAGGAACAGAGAGTCTTTAGAAAAAAAGAAGACCAAACGATTACAGTAACTCGTGTCACAAATGTAAGTGAATCACACGAAGAATACTAGTGCAATAGTAATAGCAAAAATAGTTTGGCTTGTTAACTGAAATTCCAAAGTAATTGAATAGGCCTAAGTGGACTTTTGACAAGAAGAAGAGAACTACATATGTATTATTTATGATATGCTTATAATCTCTATAATGTGAAGAATTTGTGTACATATGTTTAACTTGTTCCAAATATATATATTATTTTGAAAACAAGTGAAGTGTGTGCTGTTTATTTATCATTAAATTTATTGCTAACAAGTCACAGACACCTACTGTAGAAGAATCCTAAGCCCAACAACAACACAGTGTGTATATATACTCTTAAAAATATAAGTAAAAGCCTTTTATTTTGATAACTGGTGAAAAAAAAAATTCTGAAATTCTGCCAATTGACGAACCAGCCAGGATTATACAGTGGTAAACAACGATAGAACAAAACTCGAAGGACAGCAGAAATAAGTAGGCCTATATACACACAACTGTAGTAGTGACAAAAATAGTGTAGAGATTACAATTATGCTATACAACCATGTCAACAGATTTTGATAAATAGGTAGAAAGAGGATCTCAACTTGGGTTAAAAGAGAGTGAACTACGAAAGTTTATTAAACAATAACAAGAACTGGAGAGAGAAGAATGGCAACAGAAGAGATAAAAATAAGAAAGAGAAAGACTGAAAGAAGAAAATGAGAGAAAGGAGAGGCTAGAAATAGAGAGAATGAGAATACAAACTGAGAAAGAGAAAGACTGAAAGAAGAAAATGAGAGAAAGGAGAGGCTAGAAATAGAGAGAATGAGAATACAAACTGAGAAAGACTGAAAGAAGAAAATGAGAGAAAGGAGAGGCTAGAAATAGAGAGAATGAGAATACAAACTGAGAAAGAGAAAGACTGAAAGAAGAAAATGAGAGAAAGGAGAGGCTAAAAATAGAGAATGAGAATACAAATTGAGAGAGAAGATAATGAGAGAAAGGAAAAACTGGAAATAGAGAGAGAGAAAGAATAAGAGCACAAATTGAGATTGCAAAACTCACCCAACCGAACAAAGAAGGACCCAACAATGACAATGAAGTCAGGGCCAGCCAACCTAAGCTGCTCAATTTTGATGACCATAAAGATGACATGGATGCTTTCCTGGAGATATATGAAAGATTCGCCCAAAGTCAGAACTGGGACAAAAGCAACTGGGTAGTCTGTCTCAGCCCACTTCTCATAGGAAAAGTCCTACAAGTGCATGCAGGCATGATGTAAGAAAGTGCCATGGATTATGACAAATTAAAACTGGCTTTACTGAAGCGATATGAACTTACTGAAGAAGGTTTCATTGAAAGTTCAGAGAATTGAAACCTGACACTAAAGAACCTGTATTTCAGTTTGTAGCACATCTGCAGTGATATTTCACCAGATGAACTGACATGGCCATGTGTGAAAATAGTTTTGAGAGACTGACAGGCCTATTAGGATGTGAACAGTTCATGACCATGTGTTCAACTGACATGTCACTATTCCTAAAGAAGAGAGCACCAAAAGACATAGATGAGATGCTCAAGCTGGCAGAACACTATATGGAAGCCCATGAAGGTAGTATAACTGGCAAGTCCAAAAATGTCCAGTTAAATTTGAAATGAATAATGGTTGACCAGAAGCAGGAGTTTACAAAAGGTGAAAGGAGGTTAATAGACAGAAGGGAGAAGAGATGCTATGTTTGTTATAAAATGGGACACATTGCAAAGCAGTGCAAATCCATTACCAGTAAACAATAGCAGAAACCTCAACATAAAGCTGCTGGGGCTATTTACAAAGACAGTGCTGGTAAGAAACAAGAAAAGAGTGACTGGCACTATGGATGCTGCTGCTAGAAGAAACAGAATCAAGACTACGCGTCAGATTCAATACGAGAAAGCATGACTGATAAGCAAAAAAAAAAGTAAAGTTACAGGCCAAGGAAAAGTTTGCCATGAAGTTGACTACTGTAAAAGTGATAGGCCTAACGTTTAATATGTTAGAGTAAGACTAACAGTAGAAAAAAAATGATAAGAAAAATAATTTATTCTATCAAAGCATAGTTCTTAAGTAACTGAATCAGTCTGAGTGCACTTTGGCAAAAGGAACAGAAGAAAGAAGACCAAATGATTATGATAACTCATACCACAATTGCAAATGAATCACACAAAGAATACCAGTGCAATAGAAATAGAGAAAATAGTTTGGCTTGTCAACTGAAATTCTAAAGTAATTGAATAGGTCTAAGTGGACTTTTGACAAGAAGAAGAGAACTATAGATATAGTGTTTATGATATGCCTGTAGTCTCTATAACGTAAAGAATTTGTTGCACATACGTTTAACTTGTTCTGAATATATACACCTGGAAAAAAGTTAAGCACCCCCGTGTTTTTTTCAAGTGATTCAGATTCAACGTTCTTGTGACTGATTATAAATTACCATTCAATCTAAACGTGTTTATCAAATGAAATTATGCA